AAACTGAGATAAAGCACAGAAGTGTGCACAGCCGATGGGCCACCAGTCAAGAACGGGGAGTCGAGTTGAGTCTTCCTCAGAGTCCCGCCCGCCGGACGTACGCTGTAAGTCGTGGCCCCAGGGATATTCCTCCGGGCCAGCCAGACTCCGGGCCAGCAGTCCTGACAAGTACAAATCTGTGCGTTTTGAGGCGCGGTGTCGCGGGGCGTCGCGGGGCGCGCCTCGCTCTACCGGGCGTAATAAATGATGCCAAAGCGGTGACGGGTGCCGGCGACTAGTAGCGCTGTAACTACGACCCCCCCCCCTCCCCCTCCCCACCCCTTCACCCCTCTCCCCTACCCCATGCCGCGCGTTGGTACAACACACAGAGAGGCTCTATTCTGGCCCGCGCCGGCCCCGCGTGCAGCCACTGCACAGTGTCAGTCTCTCTCTCTCTCTATCTCTCTCTATCTCTTCTCTCTCTCTCTCTCTCTCTATCTCTATCTCTATCTCTATCTCTATCTCTATCTCTATCTCTCTCTCTCTCTCTCTCTCTCTCTCTCTCTCTCTCTCTCTCTCTCTCTCGGCGGGGACGACCACGAGCCCCACATACGTACAGAAACACGGCGCTGCTACAAGCTGATGTGTACAGTGTAGGGCGCGAATCCTGGTGAAATATTGCGAATACCGAAAGCAATATAGAACCAGTCAAACCGAAAAGGAGAAGGAGAGGCGGAAAAAAAGACGAGGGCTCCGTTTCGCCATCCGAATGGCGTTGCATGTCTGCCTGCGTGTGTCAAAGCGAAAGGCCGCGCGGAAAGCGCATCGGAAATTTAAAATAAATAAACCGGAAAAAAAGACGCGCGAAAAATCGCCGGCGCTTTCATGCACGGCGACCACACACACGCAGGGAGAAGGAGAGAGGGAAAATGGGAGCTAAAAGGTCAGGCACTTTGTGCCTGGTGGAGCGTTTCGGGTGGGGGTGCATCGGGCTGGCTACACCTTCATGCACTCTCTGGCACACCGCCAATCAAGCAATTAATCAATCAACCGCCCAAAGTCATTCCGGCAGACCGCGCGGCTACATTCAAACAGAGCGATCAGAGCTAGTTTTCGCGCCAAAACCTGGCCCGCTCCTTTCACGGCGACACCGCACCCTCAAGACCGCACGAAGCGGAGGCGACACTACAGGGGAATTCTCTCTCTCTCTCTCCCTCTCTCGTCCGGGGCGGTCCGCGAGTGCGACAGAGTAGGCGGCTGGGTGCACGCGGTGCAGTCAAAGAGGCGATCATTAACGCAATTAGCCTTGGCCCGAGTGGCGGTGGTCACTTTGACGGGCTTTAGCGAGCCGGCCCGAAGTTCGGCGGCACAGGCCTGCCCCCCCCCCCCTCTCGCACACCGTGCTCGCACTGGAAAAGACAGGGCTCCGTCACAGTGTCACGACAACAGTGTCCACGACACTGTTTTGACTCCCCTGACAGTGTCGGTGCCGCCCCCACCTCGGCCCCTGCAGCCGCATTCTGTCGCTCCGTCTCTCTCGCACTCACGCGGCGCACCGTACAGGTGCGAGAGAGACAGAGCGACGAAAGCAGTGCTCGTCCCTCACGGTCGGTTCAACCCGACACGGCCAGCCAGGGGCAGCCGCCGCGTCCAGGACCTGGCTGGCCCTGGCCGGGACACCCCCTGTCACGGGCACCGCGATGACGTACTTGCCGGTGATAAACTCCCGGCCGAGGGGCGTCGCGTCCACGAACCACGTAACGGCCGTGGCTGCGCGTCGCCACCACACCGTAAGGCAGGTCACCGCGACGCACAGTGGGTTAGAAGACCAGTGGCGGCGGCCAAAACTCCAGACGCGTTTTGAGCTCTAGAGTCGCTGTTGGCCGCCTCCACCGGTCTTCAGGCCCCACCGTGCCACGCGCGCGACCTTACAGTGTACTCGACGACGATTATTTCCAATGGTTCGAAAAACAACAGCCAGGGGAAAAGAGAGGAGGTAAAGCCAAATAAAAACTGGCGACCACAAACACTATTGTCCGCAGCAGGAATCTGCTTTGCATGAACTCGGACTGTCCATGTCGTCCACGGGCCGCAGGGACCGAGGGGGGAGGGGAAAAAACAAAAACAACAAAGGGGAGGGCTACTGTAAACGGAAAACACGAGCAAGCCGAGTGGCACAAAGATTCGACAATTTCCTTTCCTTTTGGTGCCTCGGGACTTCGGGAGACACGGCGGCCGCGCGTACGGCCGAGTCGTGCGCGAGCTGACAGAGAGCGAGAGAGAGAGAACAAGAGACCAGGGAGGGAGCAAGAGAGAGACCGATAAATGACCAACTTTTACATTTTTCTTCCCTTTGTTCCCAACGACTCGACAGCCGCGCGCGATTACAGGGAGTTGCTATAGCGCGAGGAGCGCGTCGGGCAATTCGACCCGACACTGGAAGAGAGAGAGAGAGAGAGAGAGAGAGAGAGAGAGAGAGAGAGAGAGAGAGAGAGAGAGAGAGAGAGAGAGAGAGAGAGAGAGAGAGAAATGCGTGCAAATGAATACAGCGCGGCTGGCAAAAGGCCCAAAAGGAACACGCTAAGAGAGTGCTAGCTGGGGGGCGTGGCCGGGCGTGGGACTGCGTGGCCCCAGGTGGGGCACCTGCGCCGCCCACGCCTGGGGGGTAGCGGGGCTCAGCCAACCAACGCGCAGCGCGCCGCATCCCTCCCCCCCTCTCTCTCTCTCTTTCCCTCTTACGCGCAGCTTTCCCAAAAGGTGCAAAGAAGCCGAAGCAGGAATGCCAACCTTCTGTACGGCGCGGCCACGCTCCGCCCCTCCCCATACATTACGCAGAGCTAGCCGTAGGCACGCACACATTCTCTCTCTCTCTCTCTCTCTCTCTCTCTCTCTCTCTCTCTCTCTCTCTCTCTCTCTCTCTCTCAGGCACTGATCTGCAGGCGATACGCAATACGCAGCGCGTCGGCACAGCCGTGTTCGAACCGTTCCATACACGCAAGCTAAGCGGCGGTGGCCGCGCACAGAGGCACAGAGGCCGCCGACACGGCAGGCGGCACGACAAGACAGAACGTGAGTGTCAAATTAAAGAATTAAGTAAAAATAAGAGGCAGAAAATCTCCCTTGCATTCTCTGCACCCAGAAAAATGGTTTCTTGCTTTCTAATTTTCTTGGTTTTCGTAAAAAAAATCTTGAGCCCCGATTCGATACTCCGGAACGGCCCGCGAGAGTGTCGGAGAAGGAGGACAAACAGACGTCAGTTTACACCGGGCTAATCATAGTCGTAACCGCGGCCGAGGCGTAAAATACAAAATGACGAAAATAAAGATCGAAACCAATAAAATAGGAGTTAGCGCGGTGATGGCGGGGCCTTCCGCGAATGCTCCGGCGAGTGCCCATTTTTTAAGGACCGAGGCACAACAAACAACTCACGAGGCGTCAAAGTAAACGCACTGACATTTAAAGGTGAGTCAAAAAAAGTCGCGAAAAATTATTTTCATCCAGTCGCAGAAACTCTAGCGCCGTCGTTTTGTCCGCCTCCACCGGTCTTCTGGCCCACTGTGCGTCGCCGTCACTGCGAAACGCATTCAGCGGAATTCCTCGAATGGCATCGCGAACTCGGCGTCCCGACGTTCCGTCCGACCAAACGAATGCGGGCCATGAAACGCACCGAGCATTTCCATGCAGACAGACAGAGACAAGACAAGATGGACAACGCGCCGTCTCTAGAAAGCCAAGACCAGTAGTAGCAGCGTCCGCCCGACCGTCCGCTGCAGGCTATAAAGACATCTCCATGACACACGGGTTTATAAAAGTGGCGCGCTTTTACAGTGAGGGAGAACCGGGCGGCGCGGCGGCCGCGGTAGTTGAGGCCGTCCTTTTCTGTTTTGTTTTCTACTCGGGGCCTCACAGCGACTCGTTGCCTCACCTCTCCACTAGAAAGATTTATTCGTTTGAAAAATAAAATTGAAACGCAAAAGGCTGGCGGGTCTAAATTGTCACTCTCCCCGCGGCTCCCAGCTTTTGCTTTCCAATCCATCTATTTGCTGCAGCCCTCGAAGTTCTCTCTCTCTCTCTCTCTCTCTCTCTCTCTCTCTCTCTCTCTTCTCTCTCTCTCTCTCTCTCTCTCTCTGTGCCTCACACACACCCGTCCTGTCTCCACACGTGATATTTTTTTTTAACGCTTTTACAATCAGCGGGCGACATGCATGCATCAGCGAATGAGACATCATACTAAAAGCCTCAGCTGCACCGCGCGCACACACACACACACACACACGCGCTCACTCACACACAGCCGCTCGCTCGCGAAAATTCTAATCGAGTTACACGTTTCGCTTTTGGGGTGACGTGGCGCGTCGCCCGCTTCGCAAAGGAAACAAGACCAAGAGTCAGTCATACCCCGTCCCGGCAGGCGGGCTAAGCCCCGCGCGGGTACACTGTGGGCCAAAATTCTCGATGCGTTTTGAGCTCCAGAGTCGCAAAACACGACGCGAGCCTAGCGTGTGACCCCACCAATGGCTCGCTCTCCGAACGACCAATCCATTGGTGGGGTCACACGTTCGGTTCGAGTCCCATTTAGCGACTCTGCAGCCCAAAACGCGTCTGAAATTTCGGCCGCCTCCGCCGGTCCTCTGGCCCACTGCTGCGGTACACCGCAAAAGAAGAGCTGCACCCCAAAAATCAGAGCAGCAATAATAACGATTAAAGCATCCGGTCACGCGCGGGCTGGGCTGCGAATTAAAAGCACCATCAAACGGCATTCACTATTAATCCGGCGTAAATGAAACCGCAAGGGAGCGGCAAGGCGGGCGGGCGCTCTATCCCTCTCTCTCCCACTCACGCGGGAGGCCGGGGCGGCCCGCGAGTGCGAGCGAGACAGAGCGTCGCGGCGCGCTCTGCAGGCCGGGCACATCGCCCCAATCCATTCCTTTTGTTTCAATATCAGCGCGGCCAGCCATTAGCCCCGTGCGGGCGCGCGGCGTACACCCAACGCGCGGAGACACACTCTACTTGAAACTTACGGCGTAGCGACGCGTCCAGGCACCGCAGGAGGTACTCACCTGCAACACAGAGGAAAACAGTCTGAGTCCCTAGAGGGTGTGAAGCATACTCACGACAATGGACAGGGTCACGAGGTCAACAAGTATTTTTTGAGCAGCGCTTTGAGCCCCGTGCGAGAGGCGGCTAGGCTGTGCCGCGACGCTCCTCCGTGGGGCGGGCGGCCTATCCCGGCAGGCCGCAGGGGCCCGCCGCCTGCGCGGCCAGCAAGCAGGCCCGTCGAGCAGCCGTGCGCGCCGGGCGGCCTACCCCGCCGGGGGCTCCCTCTGCCAACTGCAGAAGCGTGAACCCAGACGCCCTCCCCTCTCTCTCTCTCTCTCTCTCTCTCTCTCTCTCTCTCTCTCCCGCAGACAGACAGACAGACAGACCGACAGACACACACACACACACACACACATTGGCGCGTCGCGGACGAACGAGCGGCATTTACGAGGCCAAATTGAGTGGTGCCGTAAAGCAAGGCCAACGGGCCAAAGGGATGGCCCGGCTCGGCTCGGTTCGGCTCGGCTCGGCCGGTGCTCCGCTCGTCTCGCCACCACCGATCAATCACGGATGCGAGCCGCGGAGGGGAAAGGGACGGGAAAAGGGGGGCTCAAATTAAAAAGTCGACGCGCGAAAAACAATAACAATTGGCAGTGTCGTCGTTTTACAGCGTGCCTGCGCTACTATGCCATAACACCACCACCCCGACGGCGGCGGCGGCGCACTTACAGTGTGCGCGGTAGCCGAGCAGACGTCGTGAGGGAAAGGTCGGGGGGTCGCACGGTTAGCGCTCGCTCGGCTCGGCGCGCCAGAGTTGACACCTGCCAGGCAAACGACCCACGACACCGCGCATTCCGCCACACCGTCAAAAGAAAAGCAAACAACGAGCAGATTTTTATTTTATATAGACTTTTTATCCTTTTTAAAGTCGGAGGGCGCGAAGAATAAGCTTCCATCTTCAGCGGGTGCGCCTAACACTTGCTGGCCGCGAGAACACAAAGGCAATGGAAATAAAAGTTGAGGGAAAAAAGAGAGAAGCAGAGAGAGAGAGAGAGAGATATGCAAGACCGTAAAGCATCTTGAGCTAACGCTTTCTTATCTGCGAACCAAGTACTGCGTGCTTGACTACCTGCAAAGTGGCCACGCGAGAGGAGAGAGAGAACACAGAATAAAAAGAAGCGACTGCTGCTGCGGCAAGAGCAGGCGGGACAGAGAGATAGGGAGGGAGGGAGAGGGAAGGGAGGGGGCGGAGAGAAAGTCATGGAGCGGGGCAAGGTGTTTAGCCGCTAGGGAGCCGTCTCATTGCAAGATAAGTGCCGAAAATAAAACAGAAAGAAGGCCGTAGAGGGCGGGGAGGAGGGCCGAGGCCGGGCCGGGGGTGGCAGCGCCCGCCGCGCCCCGCAGATGGGTTAAGGGGCGCTGGGCGCTCGGGCTGAGCGCGACCGTGATCTTTAAATGCCGGGCCTGCAGACTGATTCCGAGAGTCGTCTTCGTCGCTCCGTCTCTCTCGCGTGGGTGCGAGGGAGAGAGCGACGAAGAGGACTCTCGGAACCAGTCTCTGCAGCCCGGCCGGCAGAGCCAATCTGGTGTCGCGCGCTGCGATATTGAACGCCGACAACGCCGCCTTCGCCGCCTGCGAAACCAAATTAAGGCAACCGGCGCCGCGCCGCATTGCCAAAATTCCGATTGACTACCACTCGGGGGCGACGATTGCGATTCGGGCCGTTTCGGTGAAAAACAGGGAGAAGGGACACCAACTCAGAGGCGCAAAGCTGCTCTTCCAAATTCCACATTTAGCGCGCCTCGTTCTCGAAGAGTCACGACACGTTATAAAGAACTGGGACCTTTACAAAACGGCATTCTAGGCGCGGGCTCTCGTTCGGAGAGCAATCCATCGGTGGGGTCACACGTTCGGTTCGAGTCCCATTTAGCGACTCTGGAGCTCAAATCGCGCATAAAATTTCGACCGCCTCCGCCGGTCTTCATGCCCACTGTGCTACGCGTCGCTACGGTGACCAGGTCGAGCAGGCCGAGCAGACTAAAGGGCCCTGCAAATGAAGGCACACCCCTGGATATTAGCGCCACCCTCCACCTTGTCAACATCTAAATCCGCGCCGCGCCCCGCCCCGCCCGGCCGCCTCGACCGACACAAGTTTTAAGAGATTTTCACTCGAGTTCCAGCTGAGGTTCGCCCGAAGCCCCGCCATTACGATGACAAACGACCGCAGAGGGGATGGCACGGAAGGGCCAAGGTCGGCCCACCGCGCGCGCCTGCAACCACGCTGCAGCCTCGAGGACGAAACGGGATCGAACACACCCACCAACCACCTTCATCCTTTCTCTCCAGGGACTTTCAAGAACTCCAGTATCTTTGAACTCCTCGCCTCAGTTTGAAATAAGCAGCCCCTTGGACCGTTCGTAAACCACGTCACAATGAATTACCGGGAGAAGGGCACCACTGCGCACCACGGCAGGTAAGGGGTTGCTACCGAAATCCGTCACGTGGTTTATAAAGGTCTCTCGGCGGGGGCCCCCCGCCCGGCTAGGTCCGGGCGGGGCAGGGCGGGGCGGGGCGGGGCAGGGCGGGGCGAGGCGGGGCGAGGGGGAGGGCGGGGCAGGGCGAGGCGGGGCGAGGCAGGGCGGGGCGGGGCGCCGCAGTAATCTCTTTTAGTGACCTGATTTACGGGGATGCAGCTTCACGGGGGTCAACACGTCAACGAGGCGCACCCGGCAGCGGGGCTTCCCGCTGTCAGGGCGGCCTGCAGGGCCTGCAGTGCGCAGGGAGGACGGCGAAGGGGTTGGCGTGGCGCGGCGGCGAGGCGAGCACAGCGTCAAGACACTCCGCGCCAAAACAATTGCACTTTTCCAAATGAACAGCGCGCGCCACTCTTGTTCCGGGCAGGAAACGGGCCGCGCCGAGTAAAACATTTCTTTCACACACACATACGTATGTGCGCACGCGCACACACGCACACACACACACACGCGCGCGCGCGCGTACGCACGTGTGCGAAATTAGGTGCGCTACACACGCACGCACCCCAACCAAGCAAGCAGCCGGGCCGGTCAGGAGGAGAATAAAAACAAAACAAACGGTGAAGGAAGAGTGAGACAGACGAAAAAAAAAACACTGGGGGGAAATGGGGTAAAGGATATAAAAGGGTTGCGGTGGTGGGGGCGTCGACGGACACATGCCGCGGCCACGGGACATTGCGCGCCGAGCGCCGTGCCGCCGTGCCCGACGAACGCAAGGCCGGGCAAGGCCGGCATGCAAAGCAAGACAGGGGGAGGAGCGCTGTGCGCGGCGTCGCGGCGAGACGCCAAAACGGAGGGTGATCATGCCTCACGCCGAATAAAAATGGCCGGTTTTATATGTGCACGCACCCGTGTGCCCGTGCGTGAGAGAGAGAGAGAGAGAGAGACGGAGGGTGTGTGTGTGTGAGAGAGAGAGAGAGAGAGAGAGAGAGAGAGAGAGAGAGAGAGAGAGAGAGAGAGAGAGAGAGAGAGAGAGAGAGAGAGCTTGCGGCGAGGGCCACTGAAGAAGAGATTCATCGTCAAGCTGTTTTTCAGCCGCATTGCCGCTATCAGTAAAAGTTTTTCCGACACAATGCGCCTGCAAAATAAAATACACATGTAGAACCCCTGCTCCCCGTTCCTCTCCTTCCCTCTAGCCGCGCAAGTGACGCAAAAAAAAAAGAGGGCGGACAAGAAGCACTAAGACAACAACAAAAAGTTAGCCCCCTCTTTTCCCTGGGAACGAAAACAAAGAAAGACTTTAAGGAGTAGTACCATACGCTACACGCAAGCGGGCCGGGCAGTTTCCCCCAACGCCCCAATAAACAAGCACTCTCCCTTCCGACATGGGGCCAGTGTCTGATGTGGTTGCTCATGTCTGCGAGCGTGTGTGGGTGAGCGTGTGTGGGTGAGCCTCTGTGAGCGTGTGTGTGAGTACGCGCATCACATGTCGAGGCCTTCGCAGCCCAACACCTTACCACACTTCGCCGACGTTTCACATCGGTGTATTTCCAAAAATTTCCGACAAAAGAACACACACACACAAACACACACACAGTGAACCTACTTACTCGCCGCTTAACCCCTTTTCGGCCCCCACCCCTTCCTCCCGGGGCGTCGAGGCCAATATGGAAGGCAATGGTTCGCGCCCCATTTCCTACCCTCCTCCCTTACACCCCATGAACCGCACGAACAAGAACACACACACGCACACAAACACACACACAGAGGCGGGCCGCCGAGACATCAGCGCGGTGACCATCAAGGCGACACATGGGGCGCTTCTCACAGGCATAACAAGTGGTTTCGCCCACCGAAATCATTTGCTTCCGTCGCCGGCGGCGGGGGGGATAAAGAGGCGGGGAAGTACAGCAAATTCAGCAAGTGGGGAGTGGTATGGAAAGTCCACAGGAAGTGGGAAGTGGAGGAGGAAGCCTGTGGAGGTGAAGCTTGCGCGCGCAGCAGCGACAGGTCCTGACTCCTGCATCATACCGTAACCTGGTGTAATAACAATAATCCCATCCCGTCACCAAGACAATCCGACGAAATCCGTCTGTCCGGCGGCCAAGCCGCCCGGCTGCCCGCCTGTCTTCCTGTCCGTCCGTGTGTCTGCCTGTCTGTTTGACGACATTGTTTCGCCGCCGCCTCAGCAGCAGCGGTCCGATCGACGGCCCAGCCACGAGACACGCCGGGCGGCGGCTGGGTACTTAATCTCAAATTTATACATTATCCAAAGGTCGTTCTGCTCGACCGGGCACGGCACGGCGGACACGGCGACGGCGGCGCGCTCGCACAATGGAGTTGTCCATCGGAAACAGAAGTGGGGGCCGCGCCCCGCCGGGGCCAGCCTCCGTCTCTCTCGCACCCCAACGGGACGGGCCGCGAGTGCGAGAGAGACGGCAGAGAGGCACGCATGTTCCTGAATGGGCCGTATCGACTGGCCGTATCGGCTGAATCGATACACGCGGCGCCGACACCGCCGAACCCGCCGTCCCTTGTCGTCGTC